CTATTTTGAGGCTTTTGAGAAGAAAAAATTTCTTTAAAAATCATGATTTTAAAAACTCAACAAAAATTACACTCACCCTGTTTATTGGTGAACTCTTTTTTATGAGAATCGGAAATATCTATAACTACAATAACTACAATAACTACAATAACTACAATAACTACAACAACTACAATAACTACAATAACTACAATAACTACAATAACTACAATAACTACAATAACTACAATAACTACAATCGTAAACATCTACTACAAAAAGTAATTTTCTTAAACCCGCTTTCCCTTATTTTTTATGAGAATCGTAAACATCTACAACAAAAAGTAATTTTCTTAAACCCGCTTTCCCTTATTTGAAACAAAAATAATATCATAAAAAATTACTACATTAACAAAAATAAAATAAAGGGTTTCCGGTAAAAGCAAGAGTCAAAAAAAAAGGTTTTAAAATAACAGATTTATCCATAAAAGAATATAGTTTATATCCTTCCTGTAATAATATAACTATTAAATACATCGTTATACTTCAACAAACAAATTAAAGCATGAAATTACCCTATAATTACCCTATAATTACCCTATAATTACCCTATAATTACCCTATAAATGGTTTGAAAAGTAATATTTGACAATTAAAAGTATAATAAACTGAGTATTTATGAATTAAATGCATTGTATAATGATATAATGTGAAGTTTATATTTGAAATACATATATATATATTTCATATGTAATGTACACTACATACACAGCAGCTAGTGATATAGAAAAAAATTTAGATTACTGAAATGAAAAAAAACAAGTTTGAAGATAGATTAGATAATTTTCCTAATCAATTACTTATATATGCATCAAAAGTTGAAAATAGTAAGAACTAATTTCTATTTACATTTTAAGTTGAACATTGCACTGCAGTTAACAACAACCCTCTCCTTCTTGTTCGTAATAACGAACTGAATTTTCATATTACAAACATATTCTTGGATCTTTTCTATCATTTTATTATTAGTTTTTCACCCTTTATATAATAATTATTTTTACTCATTTCTCCTACAGAACTATATAAGACTATATTTTTTCATCTCGTCCACGTTTGATCATGCCTGCAGCTGCAGTTAGAACTTGCATATAAACATGAATAAATGCATTCAATCTAGATGAAACAAAGGATAAAAAATGCACTCCATACTTCAAGAAGTCATTCAAAAGTTATTTTGTTCAAAACTGAAACAATTTTAAGAGTTTACACAATTCCTGAGTTTTATAAATTTTCTCTTAACATTTAAATTGGAATAGAGCGTTGTAACAGTTAAGGTAACTTTGTAATAACTCAAGAATAAATTATTTGTTTAGAATAAAATTTTAGATATCGTGACAATTTTAGACTGCAGGAGAAATAAAATGTTACCGATGATTTATACTTTTTAAATAAACATCAACACTTTTTTTCGAACATTTCTTAGAATATAAATTGTTAGAAATCATAATTTTCCTTTATTTCACTTTGTTTATATTTAATTTAGGATGGTTTAGATATCTATTTAATTTAGAATATTCTATAGATATTAAATTCAGAATATTCTAGATATTTTATTTAGAATATTCTAGATATTTAATTTAGACTATTCTAGATATTTAATTTTGAATAGTTTAGATATTTAATTTAGAGTATTCTAGATATTTAATTTAGAATATTCTAGATATTTTTTATTTAGAGCATTCAAGTTATTTAATTCAAATCAAATTTATTGGTCTGAGATCTGAACTTTTGTGTACAGTATCCTTAATCTTAAAAACTTGATCTCAATATCGGATGTGACACTTTTAAATTTGAGGATCAATGCTTGATCTCTTCAATTTAGTTACCCACCACTGGGTTTAACCTTCACGTGATATTGAACAGTAATTATTAAAGAATCCGCAAGTCTGCATAAGGAGATCTATGCTTGGATGTTAGGTACTTTTTTCCCCAAGCGGCAACTTTCCAAGGTTATTTTCCCAAACCGTGCAATTTGCGAAGCAGTAATTTCCCAAGTCTATCTGCAACGATCGGTTCCCTAGCCTGTTTAGCCGCAGTGCTCGGCACTCACACCAATCCAAGCCGCAGGCCCCCATGGTAGCCTGCGTCTTGGATTGGCTAACCTAACCTTTAAGAAGTTGCCGCTTGGGAAATTGCAGATATATTTGGGACATTGTTGCTTTGGCACCTAAGCTTGATCCAAAGATTCTCAACAGAAAAGTTCTAACTTCTGGATATTTAAGTACTTTTCTAAACTTTATTCACTATTTACCCTAGATTCAATAAAAGTTGTAAAAATCGAAACTTTGGACTTACAATATTCCCGGAGAAAAATGGGGGGGGGGTCAACAACTTTACTTTTAAAAATAAAAAACATATTACATAGCGCATAGAAATAATTATGTTCGACCTTTAAAAATGACCATAGACGGTTCTAACTATTGACCAACTCTCTTAGAATTTGCTGTACAATCCATATCTACAGGGAAAAGATTGGGAACAAACTTAAATAAATGGAATAATAGAAAGATAAAAAAACGAAAAAAAAACAAAGAAAGAAAAAGGAATGATGGAGATTTTCTAATATAAATGAAAGGTAATAATAATCCAATGTAAACCGATTATATTTATAAATAGAATACATACTCTCCTCTTGTACCAATTTGAATGTTGAGAAAGGGTGGGGGGTTAATGCCGGTAATACTACTTACAGGAGGAGGTGGGGAATACCGGTAATTTTCTTTTTTTATATCATTCAACATATTATATATATAAATACATATTATATATGTAATTCCAGGTTTATAATCACGAAATCAGGATTTTTGCTGAAGACAAATCATCTGCAGGTTCTAAACTCCAGTCTTAGGAAATACCAGGGAGCCACAATCCCCTTTCTTAGTTAGGGTTGTATGGGTGTTATTGTTGTTGCTTGCCTCGGGAAATTCCAGTTTTGGGAAATACCAGTTTTGGGAATTACCAGTCATGGGAAATACCAGTCATGGGTAATACCAGTCTTGGTAAATAACAGTTTTGGGAATTACCAGTCTTGGGAATTACCAGTCTTGGGAATTACTAATCTTGGGAGATACCAATCTTGGGTAATACAAATCTTGTGAAATACGAATTTTGGAAAATACCAATCTTGGGAAAGAGCAGTCCTGGCTTTACTAATCTTGGAAAATACTAATTTTAGGAAATACCAGTCTTAGAAAAATCCAATCTTGGGAAAACCAGTCTTGGGAAATACCAATCTTGTGAAATACCAGTCTTGGGAAATACCAGTCCTGAGTAATACCAACCTTGGGAATTACCATTCTTGGAAAAAACCCATCTTGGGATAAAATAGCTTTCAAATACCAGTCAAAGATTGTAAAATCATGGGTAGGGTAAGCAGACAGGGCATAGACAGGGCTTGTTAACCGTCTAGCTGCGGTTTACTTTTCCTTAACCAATTCCTGAGCAGACTTCATATAAAAAATGAACAATAACCCCCTACTATCATGCAAAAAAATACCTTGCTCCTTCTTAAACCTGCATATCAGATAAAGGAAAAACTTAAAACAGTAATAATCTTTTTATAATTACATAAGAATATAAAATAAAAATGGTTAAATACATTTTTTTGACTCCAAAAACAGAACTTTGAAATTACCTTTAATGGTTTCTTCAGATTTGACATTTTAAAATAGTTAAAACGTAAATTCTTGCTGAAATGCGGGAATAATATATCATGTAATTGCCTTCACGGATAAAAGTATTTCATTAAAGTAAGAGTAAATGGATTTTACTTCAGAAAGGGTTAAATCTTTCTCGAACTAAAAGAACAATTTTAGTGATATATTTTGTTGTTCCCTAGCTCCAAAGAGACAATTTCTTTTTCTTTTTTCAACAATTTTACTAGCTTTCCGACCTACTGCAATATCGGACCTACGCCAGTTGTTTATTTTAATATTATTTGAGGGTTAGGTTAAGCCAATTTCTGGGCCGAGCGCTGCGGCTAGGACAGACTAGGGGCCCGAGCGCCGCGGCTAAGACATGCTAGGGGGCCAAGTCCATATAACAGTTGTAAAACCACGTGCTTGTAGGTCGGATGTGTAGTATAGTGGATTTGGCGTAGGTCAGAAATACACTACCGTTAGTTCTTCATTTTGGCCTCATAATTATACGTCACGTAGAAATTACACACGATTTTATAGCGGCAAATTTAAAAAGCATACAATGTCACGTGAAATATGATTAACATTCTAGATCAAAAAATTTTAAGCGGATATTGTCAATCTTGAACGCTCAATATCGCTATCCAATATGAGGACTTTTACGTTTTAGGATAAATGCTTGATCCGGCCCTTTAAGTAAAGCTACCCCTTCAAGTAAAGACCATTAAGGGATATTAAAGAGGAATAAAATTAACTCGTAGATCTACTAGATCTACTTAAGATTGAGATCATGATCCGCAAGATGTAAATAGAAATGTTCTTACCAGACTTCAGTTCATCTTAGTTCCTTTAAATTACTTACCAGTCACCAAGTAGAAGATTCATTATACATATTGTACCGTCGAGATAAGTCTAATCTACTATAGCCGCTGTTAAGGGGGTTTTGTGAAAATGAATAGAGGAATAGGATATATTGAGATCAAATTCCATTCCCGTTAATAAAATTTCTATACTTCTTAGAAATATGAAAAGTTATTTTGTTTGTATATCTTTTTATTTCTAGCTGTTAGGAGAAATTTGAAAAAAATCTCTGTAATATAAACTTTAAATTGAATTTGAAAGCTGAAATTATTCAATAAATACTTTATACATTCAGAAGTTTTTACTTTAATATTGTTTTTTATTAACATCATTTTCAAAATCCATATTCAAGGCATTTGCTTTAAAAATAACATTTTAGATTATTTTAGATGGAGTAAAGTAAAATTTAATTTCGTTTTTTTTTGTATTAATCCTTTATTCCTACTGATTTCAATGAACAACCCCTTTAGGTTCAGTTTACTTACAAACTGTTTATAAATAAAACGGAAGTACAATTACAATGTATACTTAATACACTAACATACAGATAGTAAAACATGTACAAACAATACATACAATATACGTTATACATTTTATAATCCAAATAACCAAACGCGAATTCTTTTAGTTTTTGTTTAACACATACTTAAAAACTTTCTAAACGACAAATATTTTTCAATCAATAAATCTTTGAACTTTTTTGTATAGTAATAATCAATATTTTTGGTTATTCTCAAACTCGCCATCATCAATTTTGTTTTGAAAACTAATTTTTTCCTTGAAAAAATCCCTCAGTCATTCTAATCTTGTGATCTTCTGTTTTAGTTGTTTTCTAGTCGCTCTTCTCATCACTAGCTGGTTCATTCATTAATTCATTCCGCATTCGCCTTTGTCTGGAAACAGAAAAATTAAGGTTATTATACAATTTGGTCAATTGGTTCTAGGACGGATGATGACGTAGCAAAACATCGAATTATATTTCGTACTTTGAAGTTGTACATTCTATTTTGCATGTTTTGTCTTACTTCATTTGCCAACATTGTTTACTATTTAACTAGATTTAGGAGAAAAAAATCTTTAAGGCAAAGGAAAAATGAAAGAGGGTAGAAATTTCAGGAGTTGATTGCGACCAATAATAGCTCTATCTCATGTCCCTGTCTCGAGAAATTCATATAAAACTGTGCCCGAGTTATACGACAACTCTAATATAAGAGACATAGTATTTAAATCTAAGTTTAAAAAGATGATATTCAGCAAATACGGAACGAATCTGAAAATAACGATAACCCGGGTGCCTAGATATTTGAGAGACACTCGTCGCTCCTATTATAGAATTTTATAATTTTTCGTCTTCAGGTGTTCTTTCAAATTATTGTTGTACTTTTGATGACGACTTTTTGGCTGCTAGGTGTCTCCTTCAGGTGAAATCACTGAAATATCGAGACAAGGACATCAGATAGAAATATTAACAGTCTCTTTCAGTTGAAGTAAGATTCCCAAATAAGTTTAAGTTAAAACTAGTTAAACAACGCTTTTATCAACCTGATAATAAGAGGCAATGAAGCAGTTAGGAAGAGAACTGAACTTATAGTCAAGCTTCCTGGCCACATTACGTACATAGCAGTCCTAAACAATAGTAATAGGTGCGTAAAAGACCTGTTCATAGTTACCCAAAAATATTATGTACATAGCAGACTTCAACGATACTAGTATATAGTAGAACTTAAAATAGTATGTACATAGTAGACCTGAACAATATTAGATACATACAAGGATGAATCGGTTTTTTTTAAAGTTCAAAACGAGTGGTATATTATTGTTATATTTGAAAGGATACCCACAAAGGCGGGTAACAATACTCTAGTAGTGCAGACCTGAACAATATTATGTATATAGCAGACCTAAACAATATTATGTATATAGCAGACCTTAACAATATTATGTATAAAGCAGACCTAAACAATATTATGTATATAGCAGACCTAAATAATATTATGTATATAGCAGACCTTAACAATATTATGTATATAGCAGACCAAAACAATATTATGTATATAGCAGACCTAAACAAAATTAGGTGTACAGCAGACCTAAACAATATTACGTACATTGCAGACCTGAACAGTATTATGTATAAGGCAGACCTAAACAATATTATGTATATAGCAGACCTGAACAATATTAGGTACATTGTAGACCTGAAAAGTATTATGTATATAGCAGACCTAAACAATATTAGGTACATTGTAGACCTAAACAATATTAGGTACATTGTAGACCTGAACAATATTAGGTACATTGTAGACCTAAACAATATTAGGTACATTGTAGACCTGAACAATATTAGGTAAATAACAGACCTGAACAAATATTAATTACATAGCAGACTTAAACAATATTAGGTACATTAACAGACCTGAACAATATTAAGTACATAACAGACCTGAACAATATTAAGTACATAGCAGACCTGAACAATTTTAGGTATATAGCAGACCTGAACACTATAGGTACAATGCATACCTGGACAATATTCGGTATATTGCAGACCTGAACAATATTAAGTACATAGCAGACCTGAACAATATTAAGTACATAGTAGACCTGAACAATATTAGGTATATAGCAGACCTGAACAATATTAAGTACAAAGCAGACCTGAACATTATTAGGTACATTGCAGACCTGAACAATATTAGGTACATTGTAGACCTGAACAGTATTAGGTATATAGCAGATCTGAACAATATCATATATATATAGCAGAAATAAACTAAGGTTTATATTTAAGGTTAATATTAATACATTATGATATATAATAGATTGTATTGGTACTTTCTGTTCTTGTGTAATTGCTGGTATTTGGCTGAAAGTGAATACCAATAATACCAATACCATTATTCACAAAACCCCCAGATATACATATCATTTAACACAAGAGAACCTACAAACCCTTTAGTTTCCTCAAGTATATATCATGCAGTACAAGGATAATGGACACCTGATTATCAAATGTAATTAAATCAAATGTAATTAAATCAAATGTAAGTAAATTAAATGTAAGTAAATTAAATGTAAGTAAATCAAATGTAAGTAAATCAAATGTAAGAAATGTAAGTAAATCAAATGTAAGTAAATTAAATGTAAGTAAATCAAATGTAAGTAAATTAAATGTAAGTAAATCAAATGTAAGTAAACAAATGTAAGTAAATCAAATGTAAGTAAATCAGATGTAACTAAATCAAATGTAAGTAAATAAATGTAAGTAAATAAAATGTAATTAAATCCAATTTGGTAAATCAGATGTAAGTAAATTAAATGTAAGCAAATAAAGTGTAAGTAAATAAAAGGTGGGTAAATAAAATGTAAGTAAATAAAGTGAAAGTAAATAAAATGTAAGTAAATAAAGCGTAAGTAAATAAAATGTAAGTAAATAAAATGTAATTAAACAGAATGTAAGGATATCAGATGTAAGTAAATCAAATGTAATTGAACAAATTTGGTAAATCAAATGTAATAAATCAAATGTAAATAAATCAAATGTAAGTAAATCAAATGTAAGTAAATCAAATGTAAGTTAATCAAATGTAAGTAAATCAAATGTAAGTAATCAAATGTAAGTAAATCAAATGTAAGTAAATCAAATGTAAGTTAGTCAAATGTAAGTTAATCAAATGTAAGTAAATCAAATGTAAGTAAATCAAATGTAAGTAAATCAAATGTAAGTTAATCAAATGTAAGGTATAAATTGAGAATTTCCGGAAAAGATTTAAATCAGTACGAACTGTATTATGGCCGAGATATTGAAGTTATTAAACAACTATTTTGGTTTTGAGTGACTTCTGTTCATTTTGATTTAGTTCAGTTTAACATACAGTGAGAACCATTAAACTCTGGAATAGAAAGACGATTTATAGACTCTAGTTATGACATTACAAAGTCCAATAAAGATGAGACACAGCAATTGTCCTGAGTAAACAGATCCATTTCGCTTTATAAGTTAAATAATATATTGATAAAACTTTTACTTTTTAACAAAATGAAGTACACTTAATTTGTGTTTTAACATCGTCTTACTCTTCTTCAGTTTTCGGGTTCTCAATGTAAGTAAATATCCATTAAAATCTTGTAATATTATTGTTATAAACAAACTTTCCCCGTGTACTGCATCAATAGATTAAACCATGACTAATCAATAGTAGTCACATTTTCTGTAAGTACTTTTGTATAACTCATATGGGTCCTTTATCTGAGGTTTTAAAGTTCTCATCAAGAAGTTTAATGTTTTTACCTGTAACCCAATGTTTTGCTGAGTGGTGTCACAACAATCGGAAGGTTTCCACCAACCTAAAAAAATGATTGTTTAAGGGCCAAAACTTAAAAAAGTAAAAAACCATTAAACAATGAAATTTATCAAGACAGAATTTTAATTTTTCAATATTCAATTAGAATTTGAATGAAATTTACGGCAATCTTGTTGCAAAATATTAAAATTTTTCCTAAAAATTCGTGTGAATATTTTAAGTTTTTGAACCTTGAATAGATAGATAGTTCACCTGGTTCATACAGAAGAGGAATATAGCTATACAAGTTGATCGAACCTCAGGATCTACTATCTCAACTATCACTAAACAAAACCTTAGGATTAACTATCTCAACTGTCACTAAACAATAACCTTAGGGTTAACTATCTCAACTATCACTAAACAAAATCCCTAACTATCTCAACTATCACTAAAAAATAATCTCAGGACTACCATATATTACATGATTTTCTACTCCAATTTTTAACAAAATACTTTTTTCTAAAAGATAAACAAACGGCTAGTTGTGACCCTTTTTTAGCATTCCAGGAAAAATAAGATTCTTCCAAAACATCCCTGGTTTGTACTATTGTGAAAGAATAAATAAGACGAAGAAGAATCTGTAAATATGATAGAATGAGGCCGGAACTTTAAACTGAGAGGCAAATATACAAATCCTGAACTAAATATCCACAACAGAAACTTTTAATTTCAAGGGGTTACGTGCATACTGACTTGTAGCGTGACTCTTATTAGACAAGAGTAGATTTTTGGTAACTTCTGATTAGGCTTATTCAGATATAACCTGTGTATAGAGACACGAAATGGAATCAACAATATAATTAATAAAGGATACGGATTAATGATTTCTGAAGGGATTAACGATACAAAAGTTCTAACCTCTGTACTGATTGTACTTTAGTGTTAACCCCCCCCCCCCCTGACTCTTTAGAATGTATTTTCGTAGGAGTTAAGGATCCTTCACGCCCTAATCCAGAATGTTCTACATAATTTCTGGAGAAAAATAAAAGGAAATCAGAAAACTTTTGTCTTGAGAGGAGAAACCAGGGGATATCCTGAAGAAACGAGGGTAAGTGGGGGGGGGGGGGGGGTTAATGAGCATAATGTTAAAAAAGGTAAGGTTAGAAAGGGTATGGAGAAAAATTAATTTTAAACAAATAACTAATTTTGTTGAAAGAACCCCCCCCCCCTTCCACGAAGGGAGATATTAAACTTTTCTATTTATAAGAATAGTATTGCAGAGTCAGGATAGTCAAGAGAAGAGAGAGAAACACAAAAAGCGACACCGCAATCCACTAAAGGGGGGTTCATCCCACCAAAGTTTTTATTACTTAAAAGGACTATACACAACATTTCAAGTGACGCATTCAAAACTTGTCTGATCAGTGATGACGCTGATATCTATCCTTACTTTTAAGCAATCTCCTTCATGATGGTCAACTTAAGTGTTAATTGGCACCGTTGTAATTCGTACATGCCACTCTGTATTTGAAGGGTCGTTTGATTTAAGACTACAGTCTTTTTAAAAGCCTCGGTTCCGCCAATCTACAAAGGGGGGAGGGCATTTCACTGCATTGAATCTATAGTTCAGGAAAATGCAATGCACTGCCACATTTAAGCTATACATATCATTTACCTGTAAAAAGTACAGCGAACCATGTTTCTGCCAGAAAGTAGTAGGCAATCAAACAGTACATTGCCTGGAAAAATAATAGGCAATCAGACAATACATTGCCTGGAAAAAGTAAGCAAATAAGAAGTACATTGTCTGGAAATAGTAAGCAAATAAGAAGTACATTGTCTGGAAATAAGGAATGTACCTGTGGGGGAGGAAAGTACAAAGTACAAACTGCTAGGGGTACAGTAAGGAATGTACCTGTGGGGGAGGAAAGTACAAAGTTCCAACTGCTAGGAGTACAGTATGGAATATACCTGAGGGGGAGGGAAGTACAAAGTACCAACTGCTAGGGGTGCAGCCAGCAATGTGCATAGTGCCAGTAACCATAGACGCGATGGTAAACCAAGATGTTTAACCAGTCTGAAGAAATATTAAAAAAAGATTATGCACTTGTAAAAGTTAAAATATTTTGCATGCAATTTTTTTACATTACTTTTAAATAACATTATTGTTGAAATTTGAAATTGTAAAATGTTTAGTGTTTACCTGTCGGAAAAGAATCCTCCGGCAAACACACCAAAAGATCCTCCGATCACAGAAGCGCATAAGATCCACAATACTGAGTTCAGAATGAATAAGACGACATTCAAACCAATTGCTTAAATCATTTTGTTTTTATAAGCTGCTCTTTTTTGCTGAGGTGTTTATTTTCTTTCCGTTAAATACTACATAATAAAAATTTTTACCCGGAGACTTAAGGAGGCTGAAAAAACCAGCCATTTTGTTTTAATAAGAATTTGACCGATCTTGCAAAATAGAATTTTAAATATCTTAAACTTCGAATATTTATGGGATGTTTTCTTACAATCCAGAAACCGCATAGTATAAATTTTTAAACGAACCAAATTAATGCACATCACTTCACTTTTTAGACTAAATAAGTATGTAAAAAATATTTGCCCCACCTATGTCAAAGTCCGGATAGTAGGTTTGGAAGAATAGTCGAGTATTGTAAGCCCAGGCTAGTCCAGCAGTGTGCCTTAACAGAAAAATAGAAAAAATAGTTTTTGCCTTCTATTAATGTTTATCAGGGTATAACTATTTTCTAGGTACTATAAAAAAGACGAATCAGAAGTATAATGTCATGTACAGTGTACAACGTGTATAGTGTAACCAAACTGTAGTTCTATGTACATGCTGTTACATTGATTTTATACTGATAACATACAGGGTGTCCCACATCAAATTAGACCGCGTCAATGGGTCTAAATTACGATTTGGGGGACAAATCAGAAAATTTAAGAAGAATGAATCATTTGAAAATTTTAATAAGGTTAATAAAAAATTTATTTTGCAGATAATGCTAGATTTTTTGAGTATTATGCGCGTATTTTGGCGTTAAAGATTGGAGATAATCTAATATGATATGGGACGCTCTGTAGCTCCAAAAAATAAGAAGATGTGAAACCAAGTCAATAATTTTACTTTGACAGCTAAGTACCTTGTCTAGTTAAATAAAAACAAAATTGTAAACAAGACGTGGTTTAATATTCCTTTGTTAAATATTGCTTGTTTACGATAATACTAGATCTATAACTTTCCTAATACACGTCACAGTAGATTGTAAACAACTCTTATTAGTACTTTAATCTATTAAAACCAAGGTTGTTTATTAAGGCTTGCTTAGCTAGTCTCTATACGCTCCAATGTACGGAAAATGTCGTCTCGATGGACAGTGAAATCCGTAAATGACGTCACTGAATATGAAGGGAAGTGGAGGAATTGTGACGTCATTTACAGATTTCACTGTCCATCGAGACGACATTTTCCGTACATGACTTAAGACGACATTACGTTCCATTGGTGTTCATTTGAATATCAGAACTGGACCAACCATTGCAGTCCTACCGCAAATTTACAATTACGAAAGCGGCAGAAGTGTGTGACATGTTCCGTACATTGGAGCTCACTAGAGTAAGCAATCTTAATAAACAATAATTAAACAACCTTGCCTGAAACAAACCTACCTTGCAAATGCAGCCAACAGTAGTATTATCATGGAAGGACTCAGAAAGTTTCTAAATTACGAAAGTATTTTTAAATATAAATTAAAGTTTTCCTCTTCTAGAAAATTAGTTTTATGAAAATGAAAACGCTGATTAACCTTAGAAGTGACTTAAAGTAGGGTAAACCTCCTCCAGACCTAGATCCTTGTTTTGATTCTCCAACTTGTGAACATCTAGACATAAAATAGGTTTAATTAATACACATCTACACATCAAATAGGTTTAACTTGAACACATCTACACATCAAATAGGATTAAACTGTACACATCTACACATCAATTGGTTTAAACTGTACACATCTACACATCAAATAGGTTTAACTTGAACACACCTAAACATCAAATAGGTTTAAACTGTACACATCTATACATCAAATAGGTTTAACTTGAACACATCTAAACATCAAATAGGTTTAAACTGTACACATCTACACATCAAATAGGTTTAATCTGTACACATCTACACATAAGATAAGTTATGTTTCACCTTGGATCTTTGACCGCAAAGCATAGCAGTACACTGATGAGTAAACCAGGAATACCGGCCAGCACATACGGTGCTCTCCAACCATACCCAGCTATATCAGCCTGATAATAATAATCTATAGTAATAATAATAATAATAATCATAATAATAATAATAATAATTTATAATTTATAATAATAAAAATGATGATTCAAAGAAATCATTCAGATATTACAAACACTATTTATCGATTATTTTTCGACGCATTCGTATGCAGGAAATATTTCATAATAATTAAAAAAAAAATAATACCTCAGTAATATAAATACCGAAAACATAAGCTAGACCATATCCGTAGTAAACTCCCCAGGAGAATATACCGTTAGCTACACCCCTGAACAATAACAATTGTGACAAATTTAAATATATTACGAATAAATGGTTCAAACAAATATTTTACTTGTTGTCTTAATCATCCAAATTGTAATTTATGACTTTTGATAAAAACTACTTGCGCTTATGTGACTCTATGGAAAATAAAAAATTGGTATTTTTTAACCAATAATGGAGACGTTTTCGTTTTCATTTTTGAAAATTGATCTAATAAAACGGCAGAGATATGTTTCAAAACTTAAAAATTATGTTGACAATCCCATAAAAATGGTTAAAATGACTTTCTGACATTTAAAAAAAATATTCTTAATTTTTAATGAATTCTATACCTGGATGATGGTGGGAAGAGTTCAGCTATAAGAGCTCCACTGATTGGTCTACACACACTCTCTCCCATAGCAATCAGTCCTCTAGACATAATTACTCCGGAAACTATTCATTCGTCTCTTTTTTTGAGTTTAAAAAATCCATTATTAGACAAAAACAAGGGATGGTAGACGTAATGAAGAGTGGCATGTCTCTACAGTACCCTTTAAACCTTTATCTGAGTAATCATAAGGAAGATATCGTAATTGAATATCTGCAAATCCGCAAGTCACTTTTAAAAGGGAAACCATCGTTGAACATAATCCATTCTCATCTAAAAATAAGAATATATCTGATTCACCTCTTGGCCAGAAAAAGGTTGAAAATAATATTGAGGTTACCTTGAAATAACGTCACTAGCCACTTTAATGTTGTAAAAGATAGGGTCGGATAAAAATTTTCGCAGAATTAAAAAAATCTCCTTAATAAAACTATTAAAGAAGATCTTGAAATAAAAAAAAAATATGTTACCGTAGAATCACTAAGTGCCAGTATTGAGATGCTAGACCCATCAGTATACATGCTAAACAGTAGACATTAGTAGTAGACCCATCAGTATACATGCTAAACAGTAGACATTAGTAGTAATCCCATCAGTATACATGCTAAACAGTAGACATTAGTAGTAATCCCATCAGTATACATGCTAAACAGTAGACATTAGTAGTAGACCCATCAGTATACATGCGAAACAGTAGACATTAGACATTAGATTCATTTGATACCAATGACACATTTTTACGGTGTAAAATTTTTAAATAAGATCTTAAAGTCGTTTGTAATAATTCACCAGTTTTTTCAGCTAGCAAAAGAAAGTTTTTTACAATTCTTAAATAACATGGACATAACATTAAACAAATACTCTTCTACAAACTTTTATTTAAATCTCACAGGTTTATGCAGATTAATTTAGCTAGAGTCGCTAGTTGGAGGTTTTCTTTTAAATTTTAATTGTGAAGACGACATTTTGAAGCAATCTGCGAATAAAATTATAGAAACAGGGTAATGATAATAAAATTTTTTTTTTTTACATTTTTTGTCCAGGTCATTAAATAATTGTAAGAGAATTTTTTTCTGGTGACTGAAACAAACAAGTAGATTCAGCATCACCTTAACGTGGTTAAAGCGATAGGAAATGTTTAGTAGATTTTTAAAATGTTTGAAGCTGAAATGTATATAAAACCTAACAGATCCTTTCTGGTGTAAAGCTGCCAGTTTTATTATCCTCTAAATAGAGGTAGATAGATCACAAATCCTAACTTTAATTCTTGACTACTGTGGGACAGAATTCTACCAGCCTAAAACATAATCATGAAGAGACGTGTACCTGAAGAGAACGTGAATGTCCCTGCTGCAAGAAGTACAGTTCTACTTAGCTTATCATACAGAAAATCAGACAGAACAGCTGAATAAAAAAATTAATTACAATTCAGCAAAGTACAGTAACTGAATTCAATGCAGTACAATTAGTGTTGTTAATGGATCGTCTTGAAAACTTTTAATAAAACTTCAAAGATTTTAAGTTAAGGTTTGATTTTATAAAATTTTGCACTATTTTAATCATAAAATTAATAAAAACGACTCAAAACTGATCCAAAACAGTTTCGTTTTTCAGTCGTTTTATTGCCTATACTTAGGTTTGGGTGATTTGGCATAATATATGAGAAGAATATGTTTAGAATAAACAATTTTAAAAACAATGTTCTTAAACTATGCAAAATTTGGCATAATATAGGAGAAGAATATGTTTAGAATAAACAATTTTAAAAACAATGTTCTTAAACTATGCAAAATTTGGCATAATATAGGAGAAGAATATGTTTAGAATAAACAATTTTAAAAACAATGTTCTTAAACTATGCAAAATTCGCGGCCCCTTAACAAAAACGGATTGTACATACAATACAGTACATTACTGTATAATATAGTGCAGTACTGTACAACGCAGTAAAACAAATTCAGAACAGTTCAGTGTAGTACAGTTCTGATTAAAAAAACAACAATATATAAAATAGAAATAAAGGAATTGAGTCTGTACCACAAACTCTGATATTCTAATCCCTATATCTTTGCAACCCAATGTCGTAGACCTTAGATATTTCAAACGATGAATTCTGTTGCATCAAGTAATCAAATTTTAAAATATCAAAGATTTACACCATCATCAGGTAGCAAAGATATAGGGATTAGAACATTTGAGATTTTGACAAAGACTCAATTTATTTACAAACGGTCAAATTCGTCAAATCTGTTCTTTAACGTAAAATTACCTAGCAGCATAGCAGACACCGTAAATACTCCAATAAAAGCAGGTCCGGCCAAAATCTAGAAATAAAGAAAGAATTATAAAATCTTTAATCTATGTTCGTTGAAATGTTCTGAGCAATTTCTTCTCGTTGGCTGAATTACGTTGAGAATACAAAGGTATTTAACGGGAACAAATCAAAACACACTTTTAGGATTTCCAAATTACTTGGATAACAATATGTGTATTGAAGTTAAAGATATGTCATTTTAAATATTAAAATGTTGACTGAATCTAATATTTAAAATGTTGACTGAATCTAATATTTGAAATGGGGCCTGAATCTAATATTTAAAATGTTGACTGAATCTAATATTTAAAATGGGGACTGAATCTAATATTTGATAACGAACAAATTTTGCATCTCAACTTGCAAGGTCTGCAAAGGGCGGATTATGAAAAGCGTCATATCTTGCGTCTTGTGTTGTGCGTACAGAGATTAGATTACGCTTGTTAAACCATGAAAAATATGATTCTGAAAATAATACTGATATAACTGTAACAATTTACCCCCCCCCTTCCTACCTACCTTTAAAGGTATTAAGAAGATGAGGGATATCAATAGGTCAAAGCACCCCCCAACCCCTCCCCCCATCATTCTATGATCTTTAATCTGCCCGGAAGGATGTCTATAACCATATATGTCAATTAAGATTTTACTACAGTTTATCTTAGAATATCTGCTTTGAATAACTTACCCCCTTCTACCCTCCAACCGTAGACAAACATTCAACCCACACATATCCAGTATCCTTGAAAACTGTTAATATTGTATGCACAACAAATCTTATATCTCTGGTTAGTTATACCCNCCTGTCTGGTAAAAAAATCGACATTTCACCCCGTCTTGGGTAAAACAAATCTTCCCAAAACCCCTGCTCTAATGAAACATCCTTCCCTCCCCCTTCTCTGCTAATAATAACACCTTCTCTCGCTTTTCTGAGAAAAAAGGTTTCTTCTATACTCTGATCTCTGGTAGGACTAAAAACACACCATCTCTGGTAAAAACCCCTGTCCCCTTCTCTATACCTAATATTCAGCCTACTTTTGGATAACATGCCAACAAAAAAACAAACTGGTCTACTAACTGTAAACCTAGATTCTAGGCAATACATATAACAAACAAATATTCAAATATTTATATGTAATAATTATATGTAACAATTCAACTATCCAACCCTAGTGATGGGATATATACTTATCAATCAAAATTAACGCGTGAACTACCCAACTGATAAACTAACTAACTGTTGTGCTTATGAACTAACCCCATATTTGCGTGCTAAAAGCCTTCAATTATACAGTTAAGCAAAAGAAATGCAAATAATCTTATAAATTGCGTATGCGTACGCAATATATAAACGCATACGCAAAGATAAAACAAAGACTAAAGGTATGCAATATATTCATGTCATAAGACAATCGCATACAAAGCATGTGAAATGTGAATGCATTAACAATGGAAGGAATGGAAGAGGTATTTAAAAATACATCAATCTCTACAATTTAATTCTTTATATCTAATTAATTGAAGTGTACTATCAACTTAGTAGTTGCATGCATTGTACTGAGAACACTGTTAACCAATCAATGTAAAGAGATTGTCGTCGTTGTTTTTTTCGTTAAATTAGGCCCGAGGATTTTTTGAAATTAATTTTTAATATCTTTGAAAAATAAAAATGTGCCTTGAGCTGGGAACTTTAGTGCTAGATACTCTTAATCCAGATCGCGTGGAATTGATATCTGCTGTGGGCACTTTTAATTTGAAGATCAATGATTGGTCTTTTCATTACAGTTCTATTCCTCAATGACCATGCGGGATATCAAATAAAGATTAAATTATCAAAATTAACTAAAGATCGAGATAAAGGAATATCGATATCAACAATAGATGAGTTCCCGGCTCTGTACATTTTCAAGAAATCAGATAGCTAATTGAAATTTACAAAATTTTTCGCAGGATTTCTACTAAAAAGAAAGAAAGAAGACGACATGTATTTCGCTTGATATTGTTATCTCTGTAGTATATATATACAAACATTATTTATCAGATTTATAATGAAATTGCTTGTGTGCATGTTTTGTACATTGTACATTTCTAGATTTGATTAACAAAAAGAGTGATCAATTTAATATCCCATTTAGTGAAAAGAAAAAGAAAAAACCAAATAAAAACACAAAGTTAAAAAAAATCTAATTTGCGCTCTTATTATTGATTATGATCAATTGCATACAGGCTGAAGCAATAACAGTGGAACTAGGGAGAGGTTTATTTACATTTTACAGAGATATGTTAGGACAACTCGCTAACTAGTTTTATAGGAAAATAACACCAAAGATTAAGGCTTTGTTTTCCTAAGCAGGGCAAAATAACTGTCCTATGCAATAGGTTGTTTAAATTAAAACTAATTTCAGAGCTGTCCAAATATTTCGCAATAAATGTAAGTAGCCACTATTACCTGCTCTTGGGCTTCTATAGATACAGGATTAACCACAAAGAGTAAGACACTGTAAAGACGACCTGAAACTCTTGAAATAAGACGAATCCAAGGTTTCATTAATTCTGCTGCCTTGAATATAGTCTTTTAATGGCTTCTTTAATGACTTGGCATTAAGCGAAACAAGTTTACAGTTGCTGAGAACCATGAATAAAAGGAAACAGACAGTAAAAATTCCGTACAGTCGTCTCTGAAGTCTCATCCTTTGTAGGTAACCCTGTAACATCCAGTTCATCAAAAAAATTATGATTTAAACCAACCTGATATTCGTATCCAAGTCCTGTACAGGAAACAGAATAAAAGCAATGTTCAAGTTCCACATTTATTCATTGATGGGGATAAAATCATATCCTTAATTATACCCCCCTCCCCCCTTGGTGCAAAACTTATAGATTTAGTATCTGCATAGATTCATGTATCAATATCTTTTCATACATTTAAAAACACCAACAATAATAATCTCGATAGATTCATGTATCAATATCTTTTCATACATTTAAAAACTTATAGATTTAGTATCTGCATAGATTCATGTATCAATATCTTTTCATACATTTAAAAACACCAACAATAATAATCTCGATGATTTTCTTGTTTTTAATGAAGAATTTTCTAAACAAAATCAAAGTGTTATGAACTTAGGTCCCAATCGTTTCAGCTGTTTTTCGTTAATTGGACACAAACAAGCAGACAACGCAACAGACAGACACCCAGGCAACCCGAAAATATATATAAATGTATATGCAGTTTTATGTAAAACGAAAAAGATTTAAATTGTATATAAAGGTTTCTGTACTCAAAATAAATTATGTACATATTTAAATTTACTGTAATAAGATATATGAAGTACTCTAACTGTACTGTATTAGAAGATGACAATGTATGCTGTGTATTTAGAATTCAATTTACAAACGGGAAATACAGTTTGTTTTCTGTCAGATCAGTTAACTGCAAGCAATATATCAAGCCATAACAGATAGATTTTATTTAGAATATTTACTTTTAAAATAGATATTAATCTGCGTTAAATAATTAAAATAAAAAATAAGTATCAAAATAAAATAAAATGCTAAAACTAAAAAAGCGTCTGTTTTCAGGGTGTCACACGAAACATGACAGTTAGTAAATAGTTTTGAATGTCTTCTTCCATGTACATTATTAGATATTAAAGATTTTTCGCAGTTTATTTCTTCAAAAAAAAAATGTTTACTCAAATTTCTTTTACTTTGAAATCAATTTTTCTATAATATGACTGCCGACTGCCATGGGATATTTTTATTATTCTCATTGGATACCCATGTAATGCAAGTAACTTAACAAATTATGGAAGAAGACTATTCGCCAATTGTCATGTTTCGTGGGACACCCTGTATAGTGTATATGGTATTTTGCAGTGTAAAAAGTCCCATTTAACTTAGTGATTTAATAAGTTACTAGTAAAACTGTTTGCTTTGTAACAGCATCAAATACACATGTACTGTTATATCCTCGTCTTCTTACTCTACAGTTTTCTGGTTCTCAATGTCTAAGAAGGCAAAAACTGGACATTAACACCGGATAATTCAACCCCTATAGTGAATACTGAGATTAATGTGATATGTATATTATTCTGTATTCCTGAGTACTCCCAGTAACACAGTGGCTCTTCTGTACATGAGGTCTCGTTGTACCCTGTACAGCTAGCATTGCTGTTAAGCTCGGCTGCCCTATACAAAAACAATCTTATTCCACAAATATTTCGGGGAAAAAAGGAATTAACATGACTCAGAATGAGGTTGTCAAAATAAATAAAAAAGAATTGGGAAGTGGCACTAAAAATAATATTAATTCTTTTTAATCAAGCTTTATTTATTTTCAAACTGAATTCTTATATCACAATTTATAAGTGATAGTATGACGGTATGGGATCAAACAAAACCCAATAAATACTCTGTTAAAGTCCAAACAAGAAGCAATTCTTGGAAACTTTTAGCTCTTTGATTGAGATTATAAAATGTCCTGTATCTTTGAGCAGGCGCGTACGAGGGCATTTGTCTAGGGGGGGGGGCACAATTTGCGCGTCCCCTCGTACGCGCCTGTCTTTGAGTGCGTGAATGTTAACTATACAGTATACAGTACACGCATGGTATACAGAAACAAAAACAAAATGGATGCTGCCAACAGATTCATCCCTCCCGCCAATAATCCAATATTTGAAGAAGCGTTCACGCGGCATTCTTAAATATTTACGCTCGAGTTAAGAAAGATTTATGGGGGTAATTTGATAATAAAATAAAAGTTAGAACATATTTATAGCCTCGATTACAAAGAATATTTGAATTAAACGTGATTAAAGGATGTGTTTATTTACGTATTTATTTAGTTACAATGCAATGGCTTCTCTATACTTTAAGTTGAAACGATGCCATGACTTTAAGTACAATATTTTGTAGAAGATTTTTCTGTTCAACCCTTCCTCCGAACAGAAAAACCGTAAAAACCAAAAATTATTATGCATTATCAAAAAAACTGCAAACATTCGAATCTGGAAACTCTTAAACCCAGGAGGAATCAAATTTGTTTACCTTGCCTTGTTTACAAATAAGTCTCTAAATCAAGTTTATTTTGTTTAGTTTACAAAACAGCTAGTTAATAAATCTGGTTTACCCTGTCTTGTTTACAGAGCATATTCTAGAACTTGTTTACGCAGATTTGTTTACAAAACAGTTTCTAAAACTGGTTTACTTTGTATTGTTTACAAAACAGTTTCTAGAACTTGTTTACCTTGTCTTGTTTACAGAACAGTTTCAAGAACTGGTTTACCTTGTCTTGTTTACAAAACAGGCCTGGTCTCCAAATTGAATTTCTCTCGCCACCTAAATTTTCATTTGAAATAAATATGCATTTACACTAAATACTTCTCACTAGCTAGAAGTGTTCAAAAATCAAAAGTTAGATGAAATTTTACATCATTGTGTAAAGATTAAACTTGATTTCAAGATTTTGTGAAAACGTGTAATGTGCAATGATGAACAGTACTGCTTAGGATCAGGATCCGCATCAAAATGAAATGGATCCAAGGCACTGATTGTCCACCATAGTACATACTCCATATTTGAACAATAGTTTACTCTATAATCCCTATATATATATATATATTGTACATACCTCTCGGCTTGTTGTATTTATAAGAAAATGTGCAATCTCTCCAATTACGTAGGATAAGGCCATGTACGACAAAAACAATGCCTAACACAAAAAAAAACTTAGTTGAATACAATAGATGATCGAGAAAAAAGTATTTAAAATGTGCATGAAAATCAGTTCAAGGAATGTCAGCAAGTTTGATACATAATGCATGAAGGATAATGAATTACTTTATCACTGTCAATTTACAAAGCGGCATAAGCATTTCTTAACAGTTTTTGCTGTAGAAATCCGCGAGTTACTTTTTTAAAAACTGTAGGGCGTGTTCATCCATTATTCCATTTTCAGTCCCTAAATGCATTTTAAAGGCTTCTGGTTCTGGTTTGAATCACCAATAAGTTACTTTGAGAAAGTTGACAGTCCCATTGGATAATTGCAATAAATTTAAACAATTTAAACAAAAGTTTTTCCTTTGAAAGTGTCCATCCTTGGGAAGTAGCGTCCATTTTGTCCAAACCTAAAGCATAAAAACTAAATTATATTTAAATCTATTTTAAAATCATAGATCGATGTATCTATGTTGATTTTATTAATTGTACTAGGCAAGTGGGATGGTAAAAATATTCAAAATATTCATAATTGACTTAATCACTGACTCGGAATATTTAAAATTGGCAATAAAGAACAGGAGAATGCACTATAACAAGTGACATGATCTATTACTTTGCATGTCGTCTGAGTAAGCTAAACGGACATAAATAAGGAAACATAATGCAGTACTAGGTTTATTCTAGGGATTGCAAATCATTATATTTAGCGATAGTGCAAATGTTCCGTGTTTTTATCCGCGGTAATTAATTATGCAAATATGTTCCCATCCCTATTCTTAGTCTATCAACCTATCAACACCGAGCACAAATACCGCGTAGCAAATATTATGTACACATGAACCTTTGTTAAAGAATGTCAATAATAAAACTTCAATTAGATGGTTTAACAAAGGATATCAAATGGTAAGTGTTAAGAGAAGGTGTGGTAGAAGAAATAAGAAATATATACAATTACTACGCCTCAATTAGAATTACAGTGAGACCCATCTATAAATATTATATTCATGGGGGACTCGGTAGAATCTTTGCTGGGTTTAAAAAGATTAACGTTTATATAAACAGTTTCCAAGGAAAGCTGGGTTCCAACGTTCGTAATTATTTACAATAATAATAACAACGTGTAATTCAGTCGTATTCAGTAATGGGGTTTTAATTTTTAATATGAGCACACTCCCACAAACAAAAATACATGAAACTTACACACTTCATAATGATTTTAAGGAATTATAGCCTCCTCAGTTTTATGCATAAACCTCCCTCATTTTTGGATAAGTCTGCATTTAATTCGTATTCATTTACTGTGACCTTGGTTCCGGCGATTGTTTTATTACTTTAAACTTTTTTGCTCGGATTTTTATTGAAAAACTGTAAAATATCAGTGGGAAAGTAAAGGGGGGGGGGGTGGGTGGGAGGTTTTAGATAGATAGATAAAGTTGATTGCTAAAATACATGTATCTGTGTACAGAACGAGTTTACAATAACAAATTGATGATTATATAATCAGTACAGGCAGTCTGGGGGTTCCACATTGGGTTCCCTTTCAGATTTAAACTTGATTTGATTTGATTAGAGATCAAGGTGCGATTTTATCTTATGCAAAGTAGTTTATACATTTGTTAGGGTAACTAGAGTTTAAAGTAATTTTCTGACATGTCGACAACAAATTAAAACATTTCTTATTAGTTTTACATGAATAGCAATTCGGTTTATAACACATTGTGACGTAATTCTCAAAAAGAGAATTTAGTAGTCTATTTTTAAATATACTTAGGGAGCTGCTTCTTTTTAAGTCAAGAGGCAGACCATTCAATATCTTAAGAAGAGAGCTTGATGGTAAATACTGTAATGAGCACATTTTGAGAATGTCAAGTTGATAGTTAAGAGATCTTTCAAAGTTTCCAAGCTTTTTAAAAATGTTTTCAAAAGATGCAGGAAGAAGTTTATGTGTATATTTATACATAAATATAGCTTGGTTAAAGTCTACCAGATCATTACTCTTTAGAATCTTATAAGATTCTAAAGAAGAGGCTCACTATGAGACTTGGCTTATTAATTTATCTTTTTGCTTGTTTCTGTAAAATGTGATTTTTTTTCATTTCCGAACATTGTTTCTTCCCCAGGCTGAAATTCCATATTCTATACATGATAGAAATAAAAAGTTGTAAACGGTTAGTTTAATATTACAGGAAGATTACTTTTTCACAATTGACAAAGCAAAAACTGTCCTGGATGCTTCGTTTACCTTTTATCCAGTTGTTTTAATGTAGAGAGGGTTGTAAATAGAATTGCTACGCTTTATTACATATTCCTGAAATTAAAATAAATTTAAATATTTCAATCGGTTCATCTTTATTTCTTCATTGTTCTTGGACCTTTGCTCAAGTTATTGTATTTAAATGGTTACACACATTCAGAGCAGCTAAGCCCCCCCTCTCCCGGAACCAGTAAAATATATGGTTTTCAGGTTTGGAAAAATTCCTGAATACGCCCCTGCCCAAATGTCAACATAAAATCATAAATTCCTTTAATTTCTGCAGTAAATTGGATCAATTAGATCTGTATGCAAGAAACTTGTATTACATAATAATATAATAATATCAAATTCCATGCTTTCCACGGATAAAATCGGATTTATATGAATCAGTTGTATTTAATTTCAGATAACAAAGGAACAGAGTTCTTGCAACAAACTCAAATTTTCTAATCCCTTTATCTTTGTAACCAGACTATGTAAACCTTTTATATTTTTAACTTATAAAGTCATAAATTGAAATCAAAGGTCATGGGATGTAAAGATACAGGGATAAAAAATTAGAGTTTGTGGCAATTAAACTCAGTTCCGAAGTTGAAAAATAAAAATTAAATATTTCTTGTATTAATCCTCGACCTCTATATATCAGATAGAATACTTGTATGTGATAAAGGACTGTACTGTTTGTTTCCTGTTATATATAAAATGAGGCATCACGTTAGCCCACTGTGAAAGGTTAAAGTACGATATCGATTTGATTATATAAACACAATAGCGTACTGTTTCTGTATACTTTTTTTTGATAGGTTAGATGGTTACATATGATAGCATTTTGCTATAATCTTAACATTATTTAAACGCAAACTGTTTTTGTATATAATGTACATTTGTACAAGGAAAAGATACAAGTAAAGAACGATAGTGCACTGTTAATGTACAAGTATAAAACAGTTAAGTACGATAAAGCAAAGTATTGTAAAGTTTTTAGTGTGAAAGCGATACTCTGTACATGTACTGTTGTGTGACAGGTTGCAAGTACAATAGCGTATACACTTTTAATGATGTAGTAGGCTAGTGTACTGTCTATGCGCTGGTATAGAATAAGTAGAATAGATAAAGCTTTAAAGGTGTTAGCATTAATTAAATATTTGTTAGATCAGGTTCCTTTAACCTTGATCTATTGATCTATTGATGGGCTCTGTCTTGTCAGGGTTTAATCTATGCATTATTACACCAGATCTGGACTAATTATACATCCCTTCTTTAAATAGGGTTACCAGGAAATATTTACAAAAACGTGACACTAATAAAATCTGATTTCAAGAATACTACAAGTTGCAACTAGCGGTTCTTAAATGATTAAAGATTTTCAAATTAAGCACCAATTAATAAGGCATAAACAGGAATTTGACAGCGGGGGGGGAGCCCTAACCTTTTTGTACCTTCCGGGGGCGGGGTGACAACCCCCCCCCCCGGTTAATGTAAGCAGTCAACCCCTCAATCAATTAAAAAATAGACATGATTACTTGACAACTTTAATTCTACAGTACTTTTGAAATTTAGAAGTGTCGTAATTAGCGATACGCTAATACTTTCAATCCCCGTGCAAATAAATAGTTTTTTTTTTTTAATCGGAAAGTTTGAAAAAGGGTGAAAAATAAATCAAAAGAGAAATTGCACTGCATACGTGTATACTTTTTATATGAAAATACAGAACTTTAGTATAAGGAAGTAATTACATGCGCCTCAGATCAATCTGGAAAAATGTCAGAGGTTAATTTCATTTTCGCCTTTTCAATTTAAAATGCACATAATGTGTAATCAAAGTAAATTAAGAATTCAATTCACGCGCTTCAAAATTGTTGCACCTTTGCTGGTTATTTGACTTCAAATTTAAATTTAATCGAAAAAGTTTTAGATTTGAATTATGAACGGGAAGGTTGTCCTTGTCAACAAGAGATCAATTGATTACAAAATACTCTCAATCAAATCCAGAATTTGAAGTTTTGCGTTTGGACCTAATAAAAATTATGTAACATTACTGAAAAGAACAAAATTAATGTTTTTTTTTTTGTGTGAGGAACCATATTTTTTTATAGTTCATAAACAGGAAACGAAATAATCTAAGATAACAACATATTTGAGTTTTATAAGAAGAAATCACATTTAGTTTGTGGAGTAGGAACCATATTTATTTTGTGGGGTAAGAACCATATTTAGTTTGCGGAGTAGGAACCATATTTAGTTTTCGGAGTATAAACCATATCTAGTTTGCAGAGTAAAAACCATATCTAGTTTGCGGAGTAAAAACCATATCTAGTTTGCGGAGCAGAAACCATATTTAGTTTGCAGAGTAGGAACCATATTTAGTTTGCGGAGTAAAAACCATATTTAGTTTGCGGAGTAAAAACCATATTTAGTTTGCGGAGTAGAACCATATTTAGTTTGCAGAGCAAAAACCATATCTAGTTTGCGGAGTAGAAACCATATTTAGTTTGCAGAGTAAAAACCATATCTAGTTTGCGGAGTAAGAACCATATTTAGTTTGCGGAGTAAAAACCATCTTTAGTTTGTGGAGTAGGAACCATATTTAGTTTGTGGGGTAAGAACCATATTTAGTTTGCGGAGTAAGAACCATATTTAGTTTGTGGAGTAGGAACCATATTTAGTTTGCGGAGTAAGAACAATATTTAGTTTGCGGAGTAAAAACCATATTTAGTTTGTGGAGTAGGAACCATATTTAGTTTGTGGGGTAAGAACCATATTTAGTTTGCAGAGTAAGAACCATATTTAGTTTGTGGAGTAAGAACCATATCTAGTTTGCGGAGTAGGAACCATATTTAGTTTGCTGAGTAGAAACCATATTTAGTTTGCGGAGTAAAAACCAAATTTAGTTTGCGGAATAAAAACCATATCTAGTTTGCGGAGTAAAAACCAAATCTAGTTTGCGGAGTAAAAACCATATCTAGTTTGCGGAGTAGAAACCATATTTAGTTTGCGGAGTAAAAACCATATTTAGGCGGAGTAGAAACCATATTTAGTTTGCGGAATAGAACCATATTTAGTTTGCGGAGTAAAAACCATATCTAGTTTGCCGAGTAGGAACCATATTTAGTTTGCAAAGTAGGAACCATATTTAGTTTGCGTAGTAAGAACCATATTTAGTTTGCGGAGTAAAAACCATAATTAGTTTGCGGAGTAGAAACCATATTTAGTTTGCGGAGTAAAAACCATATTTAGTTTGAGGAGTAAAAACCATATTTATTTTGCGGAGTAGGAACCATATTTAGTTTGCGTAGTAAGAACCATATTTAGTTTGCGTAGTAAAAACCATATTTAGTTTGCGGAGTAAAAACCATATTTAGTTTGCGGAGTAGGATCCATATTTAGTTTGCGGAGTAAAAACCATATTTAGTTTGTGGAGTAAGAACCATATTTAGTTTGTGGAGTAGGAACCATATATATTTTGCGGAGTAGGAACCATATTTCTAGTTTTTGCTAAATCGTATTGGATCCCGCATGGTAATAAATTGAATAGCTTATTGATGTAGAATCTAATAAATTTAAAAGTTTAGAAGACATGAATGAATAAAAACTATCTTTGGCTGCATGCGAGGTCAAACCTTACATAGGAAGCGGGGGGTGGGTGGGTCAAAGTATTAACAGGGGAGGGAGGGGTAGAGAAGGTATAAGTAGGGAGAGGTGGAGAGTTTACAACCTACAACCTATAAATGGTTTTGATGAATTACTGATAAATGAAGTAAAATAGGAATTGATTTGAGGATTTACAGTTTATTGGCACACAGCCAATGGTACAAATCCTTCTTAAATTACTTGTTAAAGAGTAGAGGAGAGGAACCAGAATACAAAGAAGAGGAGAACTGGATAACTAGTGGTAGAGGAGAACTGGAGAACTAGAGATAGAGGAGAACTAAAAAAATAGAGGTAGAGGAGAACTAGAGAACTAGAGATATAGTGGAGAACTGGAGAACTAGAGGTAGAGGAGAACTGGAGAACTAGAGGTAAAGGAGAACTGGAGAACTAGAGGTAGAGGAGAACTGGAGAACTAGAGGTAGAGGAGAACTGGAGAACTAAAGATATAGGAAAACTGAAGAAATGGAGGTAGAGATAGTGAAAAACTTGAGAACTTAAGGTAAAGGAGAACTGCAGAATTAGAGGTAGTGGGGAACTGAAGAACTAGAGGTAGAGGTGAACTGGAGAACTAGAGGTAGAGTAGAACTGGAGAACTAGAGGTAGAGTAGAACTGGAGAACTAGAGGTAAACAATAGGAGGAAGATGAGAACTTGAGAACTTGGTCTATATATTATGTTCAGACTAATCAATAAATAAGGCCTATTGAATAAGGCACTCATTAGTTTACTGCAACGTTTGAATGAATGTTTAAGGTTTAAAACAAGACGAAAACAAGGAAGAGAGAGAGAGGAGTTACAAATTGTTGCCACTGTTCTGTCAACTCGAAATAATACATATATGGGCACGTAAAATGACGTTTGCAAGGGTATGGGGGGGGGGGGAGGGGTGACCTATGGGGACAGTTGGCCAAGTAGAGAGGGGGGGTGTATGGTGTCCAGTTACACAATAGAGAGTATATAACGGGTAGGTAAATTGTTGAAATACCATTAACAGTGGAATATGTTACTTCAGAAGGAGAGGGATTAATTCTAGGGGGACGGGGGTTAAACAAGTTTGGGAAGGGTATATGTTTATCTAATTCAAGAAAACATTAAATTCATCTTGACAAAAATTTTGAACATAATGGAAAAGTATACCGAATCAGAAATCATAACATGGCTGAATATAGGAAAAAAAAGGGAGTTTGGATTAAAAAATATAACAAACTTAGCAACCTGTTGGTTGTAAACTTTGATATAACAATGCAAGTGAACAGACCATTTTTTTAATTTTAAATACAAAATTGTAATAGAAATGTATTATACTATTCCGTTTAAGGATAGAACTATAAAATGTTAAGATTTTTCTCTGTTTGTCTGTCCTATATCAAAACTCTGGAACCCTTTGATCGATTTGCTTAAAAT